CTGCGCAAAGATGCTTTAAGGATTTACGAGATGTCTTAAAAAGTAGTCACGATAGACATTTTACGGAATCTTTTAGATATTATACTGTGCTCAGGAAATACTTTTCTCTCCGTTTTTGTTCTACTTTCGACAGTATAGCACTCTATGTGCAAATTTATCTTAAGAGTCATATAAAAAAGAAACGATTTCAAGATAATAACTGCAATTGCAATGGATGACCTAATAATGCCGGGCCATATCATAAGGCTGATACTCCCTGAAATTGTTTCGTAATGAATAAAAATTGTTAAAGCGAAATCGGAACTTTTTAAATATAATGAGAGGATCTATCTTTTGTAATCAAGTTTATAAAACGAGTTGTGTCATGTAATTTTAAATAACTATTTAAGGACGTTAAAAAAATCTTTTAAAAAAGCGACAGAAAGGATAGTTTGACAAATTTTTTTTTGCTGTGTAATAAAATATAAAAAAACATATTTAAATAAATAATATATATGAATGTATGTATTATTTATTTAATATATTATGAAATATCAAAGAGAGAAAGAAAGATACATTATTACAATACATGTGAACATATGTTTATTACGTATATAATTATTAATATTATTATAAAAGAAATATTATTATAATAATATTACAAATTACTCAAAATTTAAATATGTAAAATATGTTAACATACAACAGAAATATTACAAATCATTGCATTTATTTTTCATGAACTGACAATATTATTGAATAATTAATATCTTGCTTGAAATGAAAAATAAATGGCTGTAATTGAACGATCATCACGATATATAATCAGTTTGCAATATTTATAATTATCACTAAGGGAACTAATAATATTTTTTCCGCATTTATTTACAAATCAGATTTTTCACAAAATAAATAAACATTAGTTCTGTTTTCATTGACATTTTCTTTCGCAAAGTTAATAGCGATGCACGAGCAGGGCTTTAGAAGTCACTGAGAACAAAGATTTTCTCGCGAATCTAGAGTCAAATTGATGGCGGGACATAACACACCGTGCGACGTGAAGGCCAACGGAAGATTGTAACGTGCCTTCTAAATTTAGTGATAGCCATTCGTCTAGGCACGAACCGGAGATATATGCAATATATACAACCGAGATAAGCCTCGCCAACAGAATAAATGTAAGTGCAGATTATACCGTAGGATATCAAAGTAGTTTACGTTACATACGACATATATACTGGACAATGTAACATTTACGAGAATTCACGAGATGCATCCTTTCAGAAACAAAAGATACATTTTGTGACGAAATATTCGTACAAAATAATATAATATAATGATAGTAAAAATGTTTTTTCTGAATATATTATATATATCACTAATAAAATTATTTTCAAAATTAGAATATAAACATTTAAATTATATAATGGACAGGATAATTTGGAGAGAAATCTATTACTTGCTTTTCATAAAATTAGATTTAATTAAATATAAAGATATATATTTCTTTTGATATATTGCTTATATAATTGAACATAAAATTACCAATGGCGTAAAAAATATATTTCTCAAAATAAGAATGTAAAAAGGTATTAATGCAATCGATTGCGAAGATTAATAGCAAAATTGATGTATTTCAACAACATTCCCTTTCTTTCGCCCCGAATTATAATAATTATGTAATGTAGAAATAAAATAAAATTTAATATATTTTAATTAGAAATACAGTTGAAAATAATAGTTTTAATTACAATGTTTGAAAAATAGATTGAAGTGTGAATGCGCGAAGAAATAAAAATGAAAACTTATTTATCATTTTTTCGATCTATATATTTAAATAAAATGGATATGACAGTTTGAATTTGTCAAGAGATCGATGTTATTTCATAACAATGACAGAATGTATAACGAATTTAAATTCTAGCGATTGAGTTCACAGATGTCTGCATCAACCAGATGGCTGGTGGTTACCGATAGAGAGATTAGCGGGTATCGGTAAAAACGTGCAGTTAAAGCTGCGGTTTATTTGGCGCTTCAAATACTACAAAGCGTATAGACTCGATATTGCTCTGAACACGTAATTCTCACGTCATCGTTACGTCATCGTTTTTGTTACCACACCGTTCCAACTGTATTACCTCGAGAGATAGGTTGACTGAAGAGTTCGGACATATTTGATGAAACGATTGTAGCGAATTGTGGCACACCAAATAGAGTTCGGAAATAATGGATCAATTCAAGCGAAACGTTTGAAGTGCAGCGTTCAGAACATTTGAAAGAAGCCAATGGACTACATTAAGGCTGTGATCCACTTAGCGCTTCAAATGCTACAAAGTATTTGTAGCACTAACATGACTGATCTATACTAATATTTGACACTTCAGAACGTCCTAATAAAGGCTTAAGCACAAAGCGACCGTAACTGAGCCGAACATAAATTGTAAGTTGTAGATTGACAAAACATTATGACTGTTTTATGCCGAAGCGCATAATTTTGATTCGTGAATATGTCATCATTTTTATTCCCGCTTCGTTCCAACTGCCTCATCTTGTGAGGTGGGTTGATTGGAGCGTTCATGCACGTAGCAATTGTAGCATTCGAAACAGTAAGGTCCTGCGCACAATAGCAGGAATAGAGAAATTAAGAATAAGAAATAATGCCTACGTTCAGCGGACTCAACAATTGAACGCTCCCTGCTATTCCCAGTCAGAAATGATAATGGAATTGATATCGAGTCGAAAGTACATTAAATCGATGTCAATTCGATGTAGATTTCCTTATCATTTCTGACTAGGTTGATCTATTCTTCCAGATTTAAAATGCTGATTGGATCTAAAAAAATACACCAATAACAGCGAGCATTCACTCAACTGTTGAATACAGTTATTGATTTCAACTTATTAGAAACCGTATATTCCAATTTCGAGGTTAAAATCGTTATTCTTTATCCCTAATTCCTTATTCCCTCTATTGTGCGCAGCGCCTAACAGATCAATCTAAGCATAGCGTTTGGAGCATAACATATGGTGGCGTTCAGAGTATTTGGAAGAAGCAAATAGACCGCAGCCTTAATTGTACGTAAAATATATCAGAAATGTCAAAACTATCAAGAGTAAATTGGAATAAACTAGGAGCGGAATTCATAGATGTTATTTATAAATTTGGAGATGATCTTAAGCAGTGCTTAAGATGTCAACCAATCAGAAGTCAATTAATATGAACCAATTAGAAAACCATATTAGCATCTTAAGATAATTTTATTACATAAGATGGTTCTAAAATAAAAACGGACTATGAATACCGGGGCTTCACTTGATGCTACAAATGCTTCGAAGCATTTTTTGATTGATCAATTAATAATAAAATCCTCTCTTCCAATTGATTAATTAAATGTTTCAAAGCATTTCTAGCACTAAGTGGATCGCACTCCAGATTAACCCCGCAAACAGAGTAGTAAATCTTGTTACTCTGGCTGCGGACGATTTGGACGTTTTCAGCCCTTTCAGTATTTCTATTCTTATTTTACGTCTAATGAACAATAAAGACAGAATGATGATTATAAGCGTTTAAAGTGCGTGAGCGTTCAAATCGATCGCAGTCTCTATTAAGGTTTATTTGCGTCGCATGCTTCAATATGCTCCAATGTGCTTCTGTTATAACTTCTATTCACTTTAACGAGCGCTTTAGAGTGAGTAAATGCCATAGTACGAGCATTTTAGAATTCTTGGATCACAGATAAGATGGCGGTTGGAACAGTTGGATTCATATTCAGTTACTGAGGCGCGATTCTGTAAGGGGCTCCGCATAAAAGGAACAAAGAACAGAGAATAAGAATTTCAACCTATCAGAAATTATGTATTCCACAATGATTTCTGATAGGTTGAAATTCTTATTCTCTGTTTTCTGTTTCCTATTTCTTTTATTGTGCCCCTAATTGTCTTTACACGTGCGCGACAGTTGTCGGTGTCGTTACGCAGTTTTTCACTATATAAAATCTGCTCAACAACACCGACAACTGTCGGTAGGCATGTAAAGGCAATTACGGAATCACGCCCCTGGATTCATACTGGATCCGTTGTATGACACTCTGCAACTAATCAAAAAATAAGATTTTTCTTCATCCGCGCTCTTTATTCCTAAGTAGGTTTTTTTTCTTTATTTCTTATTAGCAGTCTAAATAGATTTTCTCAAAATCTTCAGTCAAAATAGAAGAAGCAACCTAGACTTTTTTTTAGTAGCAGTCTAGGCTTCTTCTTCTTTGAAATAAATGGCGCTCGCCGATGAATTGACGGCGATTCCGGCCACAGGGGATCGAGGGGAAAGTCTTTACAGAATATAGAGATCGGCGTAGCCGCCCTGAATCAATAAGTACTACTATCTATACACCTCACTATCCACATTGATTTCCTAACCTCAATATTCTCAATCATCAATTTTAACGCTCAATATTTCGGTTCGCGGAGCCGTTACAATGTTTTTTCTTGCAGATTCTTCCGTTTTGAGCAAACACACTTTGAATGTGCCTAATTGCATCAAAATCGAAAGTGTAGTCCGTATTCTAAATAATACTCAATAGCTTCAATAAAATAAATAAATATGTAGTTTAAGGGAGCCTTTCAATGACTTTGACCTTGATATATGTTGTCAAGGTCATGATCCTGAGAAAATTTCAACTTTCGGACATTACTTGTTAAAAAGTTATAAACAAAAGAAGTTTAAAAATTTTCTCAAGTCATTTAGGATCGTGATTTTGACAACATATACCAAGGTCAGGGTCATTGAAGGAGGCTCCCCTAAACTACATATTTATCATAAAATATTATAATTTCAATATTACAGCAATATTGTTGCAATTTTTATAATATTGCGCAATATTAAAATATTGCTGTAATATTGCTGCAATATTTCGTGCTCTAGGAGATATGAAAACGAGGCGCACTCAGAATGAGATATTCACGCATCTCATTTTATCTTAAGCAAATCCTGAAAATATAGTAAACCAATCAGAAGGTATCTAAACGGTGTCCAATCTCTTACTTGAGAATCTTACTTGAGGATGGAATAATCACAGCGCATGTGTAAACAGCTGTATAAAAGTATTTCTGCAATATTGCAACTTTAAATAATGGAGAAATATTTTATTATGGACGAGAATGAACTTTATAAATTTCTAAACAACCTGCGAAAATCAAAGCTAAAAGGCGAGTTAGACACCGAGGAAAAATTGGCGCAGCAAAGTGGCAAATGGCGAGATACTTTGGAGTTCGATGTTTTAGAAATGTGCACCAAGCATTATAGCGAGAAGGTAATAATTTTATTCATTAAATCAAATAAATAAGAAAAAATCTAATACGTCGAGGCTAGATATCTTGGTATATAATATTTTATATGTAAATGCATCTTTTTTAGTTAAAATTTATGTCTCTTACTGTCAGATTTAAAATGTAATGATAATATTATCACAATTAAACTGATCGTAAATTTGGTAATGATGCTGCTAACATCTTAAAACATTATAAATAATTTATTGCAAAAAGTATTACCACAGCGAAGATTTAAACTTAGAACCTCCAATAATAATGGGTGTCTTTCAATTTGGCATCATCAAATTAGCATCATAATTAAATCAATCAATTAATTTAATTGTGATTTTGTTATTTCAGCTTCAGTTTATAATTACATTTCAAGTCTGAAAGTAAGCGACTCGCAGTTTATATAGTTGTTAAAAGCTGTATTTAGAATTTACATTTAAAAATATTATTAGGTACTTTTTAAGATCTAGCCTTTAGTTCTTTTCTTACTTATTTAATTTATTCATATTTATATATATATATATATAGCATCTGATGCTTTAAAAATCCAATAGTATTCTAATCAATAATAAAGTGATTTTACATATTTTCTGTTATATAGTGCAGATTGGAGGTGTTGGCACTCTTAGTGGAATCAAAGAAAAGCACATTAAGTTTTACAGAAATGGAACTTGATTTAATTCTGATATTTTTAGCCAATAATTTGTGTGAGAAGATGGAATACATGCCCTTTATCAAAAAGGTAACTGAGAAACGTCGAGACATTGGTTCTTATCACAATCTCTCAATTAAATTTGTTATATCTTTTATAGGCTTTAACACGATTGAAAGATAGCTATGCTGTTATAGAGAAACAGTTTTTGCAAGCACTAATAAAATTAAGTTGTTATGAGAAACAAGATTTTATTTCCAAAACGTGTAAGGACGATCATTTGGTTATAGTACGTAAAAAAGAACAAATTAAATATTGTACAAGACTATATTATGGCCGTTTTGTTAAGAACTTGCATCTACTTTGCGTGTCCAATTTGTATCCAGAAGCAACATATGATCGCAAACGTTCCTGTTTGCAAATACTTTTACTGATACAAGATCTTATTCCTGATAAATTCAGACTTTTTAAGAAAAGACTTTGGAAGAAAGACGAAGTTGAGGCGATATTCCACTGTTTAGTGATGGATACATACGAATTTAATAAGCAAATGGCATACCAAATAATCAGTTCAGTCAGTCCAGAATTGTTGAGCTTAGATTCAAAACCTTGGGTTGATTCGCTTATGGAAGCTGCATTTAAATTTAGTAACAGCATTCGACCTATTGACAGTATTACGGCTGCATATTTGTTTAAAATAGCCAAATTATCTCCTATTATAAAAAATATACTTTGCGATTACTATAATGTAGAAGACACAGAAGCAATAACATTGCAATTAATTTTACTGCTATATGAAAAATTACGAGTATGTATAAGTCACGACGTTTAGTTTAATCGTTTAGTTTGTCATCAAAAGTAAATTTTTTACAATTATCATTTACAGAATACATTGCTCTTATTTTTTTCAGGAAGTATCAACTTTAGCAAAAGAAAACCTAGGAATAGCAATTAGTAAAAATTCTTTATATGGATATTTATTTTGCATTAGAAGTTTGCTTTTAGATTGTGACTTAAGGTAATTAAAAAAATATGAGCATTATAAATTCTTTGAAAAAATAATATATGATATATTTATATTTTCTTTTATTCTTGCTTTAGAGATATAGAAAGAAGTGAATTATGGCAAAATACCATAGCTGATATTATAGTATTGTGTTTTGAACTAAATCGTACTGTTTCTGTGGTAGTAAATAATTCCTCACCGGAAGGACATTTACCAATGGACTTGAAAACACTGAATTTAAATGCATCATTTCTTAAGAATGAAATTATAACACCACAAATGATACTACTTTGTTCTTGGCGTACTGTTAAAGAAGTTAGTCTGTTATTTGGTCTATTTGCCACCAGGGCATCGATACAAACTGCCGAATCTCCAAATGGATTATTAACTATAGAACAAGTGAGATTTGTATATGCGCATATTTTCATGTTTTAATAAAACATAAAGGGATTAATACAAATATGTTAACAGATAGAGAATATAATGAAACATTTAGTCGCGTTATTGTGTGAAACAAAACATAGAGGTGCGTTTGAACAAGCGTATGTTGGTTTTCATGAATTATGCACACGATTATGGCGTTTAACAGACAAGTCTTTAAATAGGCTTCCTATGTTTTGGTTGTACAGTATTTTAGTGTATTTTACGGGATTCGAGCCAGGATATGTATTATGTGCAACAAGAAGAAGTGCAGGTATTCCGTTTATGATACAGGTATGAGCTAAAGATTATTTCATTAAAAAAAAAGATCTAAGGACATAATACTAAAACGAATTTATTTCAAAATATAGGCAGTGTTATCCTCAGAACCAAAAATCCAGAACAATTCAGAAACATTTGCATCTTGGATTATGACGATTTTATTACAATTTGCACAAATTAAGTGCACAGCTTCTTTACATCAATCAATGATGGAAGTAATGTATGGACATCCAATATTTTCTAAATCCGAGTTTTCAATTTTATTTGAACAGATAGAAGAAAAGTGTAAAGAAATGACTGATCATGACTTAATCGAGATAAAAATTCATTCTATGAATATTCTTAGAGCTTTATTTAGACATTCTCAACTCGGAGACATAACTAAAAATTATATTATGAATGCTTTGATAATTGCCTATAGAAATTATGAAAGTACAAAATGGTCGGTAAGTATTAGTTATATATTATTTTAATGAATATTTTAATGAATATTATTTTAACTGTGCAGAAAATAATTTCTAATTGGATTATAGGAACGTAATGCGGCTACGTTATTGTTCAGTACACTTATAATACGAATTTTTGGTGTTCAAAGAACCAAGGATCACATCAATTTGACAACGGATAACAAAATGACAGCAAGAATATTTTTTGAAAGATATCCCAATTTATTTGATTTTATTTTGCATGAATTGAGAACTGCTTCGAGTAAAAAAAAAATCGCGATAAGATCTAACATGCAAGTAATTTTATTGCTGCTGTCACGATTATATATTAATTGCCATTTTGACACGGATATTGCTTGGGTATTTATATATAATTTAATTTTTCCCCTATCCGTTAAAGATGAACATTACGGCATATGTGTTTCCAGATAAATGAAATTGTTAATTTGGTATCAGAATGTGGTAAAAGTCCGGTATATAAAACACGTGAACTTGCAGCTAGAGCATTGGTGCCATTATTAGTAGATAGTACAGCTTACAACTTTTTAAAAAAGTTATTTGTAATTTTATATACTGCGCGACATACTCAGATGTCTGCAAATTTCACACATGGCTATTTGCTACAGGCAAGTAACAAACTTAACAAAAATAGAAGAATAATAAAGAATAATTAAGATAAAGATTTACAATTGAAAACATCAAATATGTAATGTTCCAAATTTTAAAAAATTAAAACGTATTAAAACGCGTGATTAAAATATTAATTCTCGATTGATTAAATTGTAGATATTAGAGATTTTGACGAAATTGCCATCCGTCCACATGCAGTTATTAAAATCTGATGTCACAAATTTTGTACGCGCGACAGATTGGATATTAAAAGGATTAGAAAAAAAAACTAATGTATTCAGTTGTTTTCCTACAGCTAGTGTATACATTGACATCCTTCATAGTTTAGACAAAAATATGTAAGAAAGATAATTTCACAGAAATTGTCACTCAAGACAGATTTTATAATTTCACAAAAACCATATCATTCAAGACTGATACATTTTTCATGTTTTTAGGATTGAAAGTTGTGATGTACAGAATATATTGCATATCCTGCAGCAGCATTTAGTCAAGAAAGTTCTATTAAAACAAGGACCGGGCGAACAAATGTATAAAGTGTCTGCAATCAAATTTATACTACGTATGGGGAATTCAGAATTTTTGCAAACGATGTACAATGGATATAGTACAGCATACAACATATATTCGCGACTTTTGATTATTCCAGAAGCTGAGATACAGAGTATTGCTTGGATTACTATTTTCGAAGTAATAATAAAGATGAAATCTTATCTACAAAGAGAATTATTGAGCGCTTTTGCTCTTCACACAGCTTTCTATTTCGCCGATGATTTATATAAATTTAATCCTAATTTACAAGATGCAATTTTCGATTTCTTATACAACAGCCTGACGAACATAGACAAATGTTGTGTCATCGACAAACGTGCAATTTGTACTTTGGTTCTTAAGAAATTATATCTAGATGATACAAACAATATCTATTCTCAACGTGCTAATTACTTGAGATTGCTAGGAAAATGTATGACATTAACTCTTGAATGGAAGGTTCGCTTATTATTTTACTCATTTTTAAGATAATTTTTTTCGATTTCTCTGTTCTTTATTTTTGTTCTTACCACTTGATATATTTTTTAATTTTTTTTATATCTTTTTATATTTTAAGGATAAAGAGCTCAGGATGGAACACATAGAGGGCATTTATAGAAAAATCTGTGACAATAGATGGATTGGTTTGTTAGATAAAGATTTCAGATTATCAGTTTTCGATATATTATATGAACTTTTTGAAAAGGACATCGATCTGGAATATTGTCGTATGAATCAAGGATTTCTATAGCCAGCGAAATTAAATTCGCGTAACAGTACAATGCAAAAAATATTTCTTTACAGATCCCATATTAGATTGGTGGACAATGTTGTTGCAATTATTAGTCGATGACAATGCGAATGTTCGATTCGATGCGTCTGAAATAATTTGTAGACTTGAACCGTGCAACAAATTGGAATGTTTCGAACCAACTTTGTTGATATTCTTTGAAAAGTTTAAAGAAATAGTCGCTGTTAAGTATCCCGAAATAGCAGTAAGCGCCCTTTTCTGCTGGAGTGTTTCGTTGTTAGGAGATATGAATTATGAAATGGATGATAACGAAGTAAGTGAAATATATATATATATATATATATGGGCAAGATATAAAAGATATACATATATGTACAGTATAGTCTATATAAGTATAAAGCACCTCCACAAATTGACATAAATGTTCTATATTTTTAGAGAAAATTAGTTAAAAAACAATTTTAATATTTCGTTAATTTTCCTTTAATTTTTATCATCACTTTCTCTAGAAAAATGTAATAAATTGAGGATATTTTATACTTATGGTTGTATATGATAATATTCGACATATGTTTAAAAAATTCGAATGTTTACAATAGGTATTCAACAAATGTAGAAATTACATTATCTTCGATCCTAAGAAGATATCAGATCAGTGCTTCAATTTAACAAAATCGATAACTCAACAATATTCCATTAATAATACATTACCACCGGATGCTGTAAGATGGATAAGTTACCGTTTGGATACCGATTTTCCTGCATCGTCTTCTTTTAAACAGATTATACATAATTATCAAAATAATCTGCCGATAACTGGAGAGGTATCAAAAGATATTATGGGATTCAGCAGAGATAAAGTATTCCAATCTTTTGTATGTGAAAGATATATGTCATTATAATGTCAGATATCTATTATATAATTGTACTTGTAAAACTTCGCTCATTTGATATGTAGGTGAGATTATTTTATATGTAGATTTTTAAGGAAAAAATAAAAATCTATTTTTTAAGAAATGATCCAAGATGCTTCATATATGGAACACACAAAAAGTAAGTTTATTCAAGAAATAACAATGATAAAAGTTGAAAAGAAATTTCATTTATTTTACACAATTTTAACAATTTTAATACTTAATATAATAAAACTAATTACGCTCTGTTCAATGAGAGAATGACTTCGGTTTGCGCATAGCAGGCAATGTACAACGCTATGAAGACCTACGCAAAACGGACGGAGTCCGATCTGAGGTCATTCTCTCATTGAACGGAGAATACAACTAATAATTATAACTAATAGAATAAAAAATTATAAATAAACCTATATAATGAACGGATAAAATACAGAACTTGTAAAGATAAAATAAAATTAATTGCTTAGGCTTATAAATTGCCATTCTAACGCATATGTTACTTTGTTTACTCATGAGTATTTAGTGTGTGTTCTGAACCCTTTTAATAGAAAACGGTAAAAAATAAAAAATATATAAAATATATAAAAAAATATAAGTGATAGATGATTATTATGTAATAAATTATGTAGTAAATTAAATGAGAAAAGATGCACAGAAACTTATTGCATCTGACTCTCAATACATGTGTCTTTTATTACAAATTATCTTAATTTAAACTCTCTGAATTACTTTGAACAGTCAATAACTCATGATACTCTATGACTCAATCATGAGATCAGTTGTACATCAAATATTGTAAAGTAAAGAATAGATTAAATACAAACAACAATATAACGACTAAAATCATTATTGAGATAAATGAATCTCCTCTTAAAAAATGTGATATATAAAGTATATTTTTTTACTTTTACAAAATTCTTTTAATGGATGGTCTTATTATGTAGTTAAAAATATTTTTACATTCTTTTTATCCATCGCCTTCCCACAAAATTGATTTCTGTATTCAAGATACCTCCTAGCTAGCAGTGCCATCATGGACGACACATAAGGCTAGCCTATACTATATGTTACTGTGCCCACAACATGTCATTTAGTATTTAGGATATAGTATATGTCAACATCTTCTTGAAGATGTACCGATACTTTCTAAAGATTTTAATTTCTAAACTTCGATAATTCTGATGATGAGCAACCGAACGAATAAGTCAATATTTGTAAAAGATTAACTGCTTTCTGCAGATATTTTAGGCTTTAAAACTACTTAATTTTTAATATTTTTATTATTATGTATAAAATAATACAACAATTGTTAGTTATATATGGTTGACCCAAAATGGGCGAAGTTCTTTGGTAAAACTCGTTTTCACATATCTTGAACTTGAATGTTCTGAACTTAAATGGAACATGTCTTTAAAAGTAAAGCGATATTTCAAGTGTCAAAAAGTTAAATGTTAAATCTATGAATTTAAAAAATAGTTTGCCGAAAATATATTAATAATTCAATGAATAAGTTTCAAATTTTATTTTTACCACGAGTTTTAATATTTTTATTTCTTTTTTAAATAAAAAAATTACATTAAACAAATTATTGCAATTAATATTTTAGACATTTTTAATAATTCCCATAATATTTCGAATTTTTTCAATTATGTTAAAAATAATCTGTGTATGATTCATTTAATGTTTTTTTGTAATAAAATTATTTCAATTCATAAAAAAAAACATTTAGTATTTTATTTTCGTACTAATAGCTTTTTTCATTTTACACTTTCCTCTTTATTTTTGTTTTTTTTCTCTCTATAGATTAAATTTATATTCATTTCGTGCGAAAGTGCAGCCATCTAATTACAGCGCGAAATATGCCATTAGTTTGCACTGATTTCCACTTCAAATGTTTCGATACTTCGCGACTATCGTATTCTTCGATATTGCGATTCTCGAAGTATCGCTTTCCAAATTGTAGTTGGTATGGAACAGTTTGGAATCACGGAATTGTATTTGACGTGCTCGGCATTTTTTGCGATTATTATAATACTATTTATAGCGAATTTCACGTACAATAAATTATCGGACGTATCCTGTAAAGTATTCGCAATATGAAAATAATCGCTCCTACAATGCTGTGATTGGTAATTTATTCTAACATTATTTGATTATCATCTGTTCTCACCCTTGAAAAGAATATTAATTCGAATTTCGTCCTTACGAGAATTTAAATATTGGAAGACAATAATTATAATTTCTTCGTTTAAGTACTAAGAGCACTGCTATTCAAAAATACAATACATAAAAATACAATAATAAATACAATAATAATAAAAAATACAAAATACTCAAAATAAATAATTATTTATCTTGCAATAATAAATTCGTCAGTTATAAATTAAAGTGAATTTCTACGTCATTTACTGATTATTTCGTAAAATCGCTTCTAAAATTCTAAATATTTGACTGACCAATTAGAAAAAAAAATTTTCTAATTGACAGATATATATCAATCAAAGAATACTTCAAAATATTTATGTGACATTAAATGAATTACAGTGAGTAGCACAATTCATTGATGAAACATATTAATTAAAAATTTTAATTATCAATATTTATTAATATATATTGTAAATTATATATTGAGTCAATATTACGTCTAAATTGTATTATTCTAATATAAGCAATTTTTAAAACAAATCCTTATATTCGTAAGAAATTATTGCCTTTGTTTTTATTCCTTTATTGGAGATCTAAAATTAGTAATAGTAAATCTCGTAGCAATGGCAATTTATCCCATGCATTTCGTCTCTCTCGAATAATGGCTCATAATTGTTATTCCAATGAATTAATATATTATATAACACACTCGAAGAAGCTTGTCGCGTTTGGTGCATGGCGGCGCCACAGCGCGGTGGCGGCTCGTCTGGATCGCCACAGCGCGGCGCCGGCGGTGAGCCGATCGCCGACTGCCGAGCCGGGCCGAGCACGGCCGAGTGCGGCCGACTCGCACGCGTATTTCGCGACGCGACGTGCTACCGTGCGACTACCCGTCGTACTCTCGTGTTTTTCCCGATTTTTCGCGCCTCTGCCGAGTGACCATCCACGTTTCATACGCGTCAATGCCCACCACTTGCGTCCGACCGGTGACGGCGCGTCCGCGCGCCTCCCGCTGATTGTGAAAGCCCCAAAAACCGAGGCGTACACCCTCTCCGCGTTGCTCCACGCACGCACCACGCACGCACGCACATACGTAACACACGTATACACACACATACATACATACATATATACGCGAACGGGTGGTGTATGGTGTGCTCGTGCCGTTGGTGTTCGACAGGAGAGGAGGCATGGAGTGTGTTCAGTGCGCCCGTTTCAAATCGTCACGGGCCGTTACCTCAGCCCCGTACGCAGCAAGGTGAGTTACGTCTCGTTGCGCTTTATTTGTTGGACCGGAGCAAGAAGGAAACAGAAAGACAGAGACAGAGAGAAAGAGACGATTAAGGGTCCTCGAGAATCGCAAATCGCCAGGACATCGTGCGAGGATGTCAGAATTCGCTCCGAGAGAGAGAGAGAGAGAGAGAGAGAGAGAGAAAGAGAGAGAGAGAGACGAAT